TCTCTCCCTCTCTCTCTCTCTCTCTCTCTCTCTCTCTCTCTCTCTCTCTCTCTCTCAGACAGAAAAGGAAAACAACACCAACACAGACATGTGCCCCCGAACGCCCTAGGTATAACCAGAGAGTTTACAGTATACCCTCTCTGGTATAACACTCGGTGTCTCATGAGGTGCAAGATGACAGCTCGATCACACGTTTCAGGAATCCACCTAAACTATCTGTGTTGAAACACTATCATGTTTCTGAGCTTTTGTTTACGACCATCAAGATTATAAATCCGCCCCAGTATACATATGTACTTGTACATGTACTTTTGATTAAACGAAGCCACACCTTGTATGAAACAAGAGAAAGAGGTGAGCAATCTGAGTTACAATCTTGGGTTCTAGATAAGGCTCGGAGAACGAACCGTTGGATACAGTAGAAGTCCGTTAGTCCATCACGGCGTGACCTCATCTCTTCAGTGTATTAGTCAAGTAGGTCTGACACAGACACAGGTGGTTAGTGGAAACTACCATCTGTTCGACCTACTTTCTCTAAGTCTTCTGTGGTGTAGCGTTAAGGCACATCGACTTCACGCGCAGAAGAGGTGAGTTCGATTCTCTTGTGGGGAGTCTGTTTGTTTATTTGTTTGTGTGTTTGTTATTTATTTGAGTATCTCTGTCTCCCTACTTGGATGTTGTGTCCATCTCTATCTGGTTTTGCTCAGGCAGGCAGGGTCAAAACGCTGCAAAATGTGTCGATTTGGGGGGGGGGGGGCGAAAAACATCAACAAGGAACAATGCCAGGCTATGGATCCGCTGTTTGAGATAGGGCGAGGAACAGACGGAGAAAAAACGCAGTAATGAACACACACATTAACAAACAACGAGATACTCAAGAAAACTGTCAAATTACTACACAAGCACAATTTATTGATTCACACAAAAGACAAAACTGTCCAAAAATGATACTTGTACAGTAGGATCAATTAGTTCTGGGTCCAACAGACGTGACACAACATGACACGACTCTTGAACTCATTTAGGCAGGGGAGATCACCGAGAAAACATACACGTACGCACATCATGTTGTCTTTGTCGCCCTTTATTTCCTATCCGATGTTTCTGTCTTTATTTTATTGGAAGTTTGTGTGTTTGTGATTTGTTTTTGTTTAGTTTTTTTGGTGGTATGTTGTTTTTTTAGTTTTGCTTTGATTTTCCTTGTTACTGTCTGTCTGTTTGTCTGTCTGTCTGTCTGTCTGTCTGTCTGTCTGTCTGTGTGTGTGTGTGTGTGT